GGCATACAGCTCACTAGAATTTGCACTGCGACAAAACTTTGGGACAAAAAATGACTTGATTTCATTATGGTACGGAATGATGGTTAATTTTAAATCCCCCTAAACTGGCCTTATTATCCTATTTTAACTATGGGCGAGGACCAACGAAGAACGTGGCCGCATAAAGGGCCTCCACGAGGCAGGCTTGAGTGTCGGCGCGATCGCTCAACGGCTTGAGCGGTCGGTGAATGGCGTCAGCTACGCCCTGAGGTTACCTACCACTAAAGCCAAAAGAGAGGGGGGGGCGTCCGGCAAGCCTAACAGACCGCCAAGTCCGCCAGGTCGTAGGCAGCGCCGCAACAGGAGACTACCCGGCGTCCGAGTTGAAGATCACGTACGGTTTGGCATGCTCGGTGCGTACGATCCAGAGACTTCTGTCTCCGGTAGACTATCTTGTCTACTCTAAAATGGATCGTACACTACCTCTAACAAAGGCGCACAAGGAGGCGCGTCTAAAGTTTACCGAGAGGCTCTCGACGGCTGCGCAGAAAGGAGGTGGTTTGGTCCATGATCATCTTCTCAGATGAAAAAAAGTTTAATCTCGACGGCCCAGATGGGTACAAGCACTATTGGCGTGACATGAGGTGTCCTCCCCGTCGTTACATGTCTCGACAAAATGGGGGAGGCTCGCTAATGGTCTAGGGAGCTTTCGGGTCAAAAGCAAGTCGGAGTTGGTGGTTCTGGATGGGCGCCAGAGCTCTGGCCACTACATCTATTTGGTGTCGGAGCATATGCTCCCATTTGCCCACAAGAACTACGGCACGGATTTTGTATTAATGCAAGACAACGCTTCTATCCACGCCTCGTACGCAACGACCGAGTTTTTCACGGAGGCTGGGGTGCAGCTGCTTGACTGGCCAGCTCGCTCACCCGATTATAATCCGATTGAGAACGTGTGGGCAATTTTGGCTAGGAAGGTCTACAGTCATGGAAAGCAGTACAGCTATGTAGCTGAACTCACTGTTGCTGTCATGGAGGCGTGGGATTCAGTGACGATGAAAACGCTGCTGGATCTGATGACCTCCATGCCTTCTCGTTGCTTTAAGGTAGCCCGCAAGAATGGCGACAAGACACACTACTAGCTAAATGGGTGCATACTTTCAATAATGAAATCAAGTCATTTTTTGTTATAAAGTTTTGTCGCAGGGCAAATTCTAGTTAGTTGTATACCAGCCTATATAAGTTCTACGAAATCTAGATCGGCGTCACAAGCCCCCTTTCGGATAGGTGGAACATATCTAAATAGCGTCGTCTAACTGATATGATGAACTATTTCCGAAATGTAAAAGGTCGCCCCCCCCCCTCCCCCGAATGTAAGCTGGTCTCCACAAATGTGACATAGTCAAACCCGCTGATGTCACACTGCAAACGCGGATCTGATAATTATTACATGTAGGCAGACGGCTGAAGAGGCGCCGTTTTGTGTGCAACACGCTTTGTCCATTTCGAACACCTTCGAGCATGTTCCCCCATCAATAATGTTTATTTTCTTAAGATGCGAAAAGAAAATCCACTTACTGTACTGCAGACAATCCTCTCGGCTGTGGTAGCTTCGGGAACCACCAAATAATCACAAACTGGGGTTATCACAATCCAAAGTGACCACTTCGGTGGAATCAAGCTTGCAAGGTTTGTGTTGACTGTCGGTTTGACTCGCTCATGCATTAGAGGCTGCGTGCAAGCGTTAGATGCGTCCATATCTCAATGACTAACCGAATTCGACACGAAAATAAGACTGGTCAAGCTGACTGGTTGGCGGCCCCTCCAGACTTATCTTGAAATACGATATCTAAAAGGCGCAGGATGTACTGATGGTACTCTCTGTCGTTGAACAAATACTCCGACCTTCACAAAAGAAAGAAATAGGCAAGCAGCAGCCCGCCCTACAATAATTGCCCTCGTGCTTGCCTCACATTCACTGCTCGAAAATAACTCGAAGCAAAACGGGGGTAACAGGCTGCTGCTCGAGTACAGGGTCGGTGTAGTGCCGAATGTCTTTCAACAAGATTGCGTGTCTCGCGTTAGCACCAGGGTCATACCCGGGAGTGTTCTTGTGAAGCCATCGAACCGCACACAATTTACTACATATTGTGCTGCCTTTCCCGGACCTAATCATGCCGTATCGCCAAAGAAAGACTGCGAATGCGCCCAGCTGCGCCACCTTCGTCTCGATTTCGTCACGAAGAAACCAGTGTTGATATCTCATGAGGTCACACCACTTAGACCATTGGTCCCAAACCCGTCGATACTGCCCACGCAAAGTGTCGGCTAGAGCTGCAGCTCGAAGCATCGCTCCCAAAGCTTCGATAGATTGGTCGAGACTCTGACCTCTGTCCAATCACACGTCATGTCAGCAAACGACCTCGCTAGCTCCTCAGATTGTCACACTTTGCTGCCCGCGTCTGAGACGACGTTATCGACGCCCAGTACGTGCTCAGCGGAAGAGTAAAGTTTGTGACGAACTTCGAAATACGATATCAGTCGCAGCACCATTTGTGCGTGCGAGTTGCGGCTAGACCGCCGATTCGTCCCGACTACGGCAGAAGAGTTATCAATCCAAAGTCGGCATGAGAAGGATCATCTTGTGCATGTAGTAGCCGGGGCCATTGTTGCGACCACACAATTGACCCAAACATCGCGCTCAAGAGCTCTCGGATGTGGATGCTAAAATCTCATGATACTGAATCATCAAAGGTGCTGATCTGACAAAGTTCTTCGTCATCGAACTCTACTTGTAAGTATTGTCGATGTGCCGGCCACAGTGCTACACACAATCTCTGGCGTCCATATGGATGTGGTGCTCGGGATCTCGGGAATCAATGAGCCGGGATAGAGGCACTGAGGTTAGTCCACCGATCTGAATAATTGCAGCAAGCCAACGGAAATTCTCTCGGACTTCCAGTGGGATAGCTGAAGCGCGAAATCAGAAAAGTTTGTGATTCAATGATGCAATCCGCTGAAAGAAGGGTGCCGTCGCACGGATACCTGTCGTCACGTGACGGAGACTCCGAAACAGCTAAATCGATTGCTTTCTTGATACTGGTTGGGCACCTTGTACGGCAGTCACATGGTCCAGCGCCTTCCCAGTTTTTTTTTTTCACTGGCATAGATAGTCATCTTCACGAGATCCCACCTCAAACCAAGGGTCTTTCCTTCTACAAATCACGAGTAAACTTCTTATCATTGCAAATATTCGGTCCCAAAACCATGACCATTGCAGTCCGCAGAGACAGCGTAGCTTCATCTAATCGTGTGTCAGTATCAGGCTCGATACACACCTGGCCATCGCACCATGCTTTCCCGTCAATCATATCAGCTCCTACCCGGGGTTGACTACCCACGTTGGGCTCACCCCATGACAAACTATCGAGTGCCATTAATCCTTGCACTTAGACGTTGACCAGCACGATACGCGGTCAGAAACAAATAAAGCATTGTTAGGTCCCGGGTCATGCGATGTCTCCCCTTGAACAAGGCGAATGAAGTCCGGTAAATCCAGCTTGGGCCTTCGTAACAGTTCGCTGCTTGCAAATTGCTTAGCCCGATCAAGCTCAAAATTTTGCAACCCCTTTGACATGGTCCATCGGCGACCGGACACTGGACGCTTGACATTGCACTAATCAATGTCTTAAAGCAGAACTTCTTGGGTCGCCTCTCGTTCAAGTGCGTAAGACTTCTCGCGCACTCGCAGTGAAAGCAGATAGCTGCGTTGTTGAGCGTACAGGTAACCTCGTTGTAGGCCGGTGGGTATTTTACGTGCGCTGGAAGGTGATACGACTACGGAGGATCCTCATTCTACAGATCCGAGATTGTGATGCCGTAGGCGTACCCGATCGTCTCGAGCACATCAAATTTGAGCAAGGCATAGAGACTGGCTGGTGGCATGTTTTCGATTAAAATCCGAAAAAAACGTCTCTGAAAAATATTGAGGTCTTTGAGGCTGCTACGAGCAAAGCAGAATATAAAGTGAGCTCCGCTGCTCACTTCCACCCAACTAATAATCGTACTAAAACTTCGCCTCACTACAGATTTTTTTCTGAATAAGGAACGCCTGAGAAAGAGATTGCATAAGCTGACAATGCCTCGCTAAAAACAGACTATGATATCGAATCATTGCATGTATTGAAGTAAGTTAGGATAAATTAAAGATTCGACTTTTGAATGAGACTAGAGTGATTCCAGCAGTGCTGAATCGTGGAAGCACCATGCACCTCGCGCCAGAGCAGTGCAGCTAGCTGGTCGACGCTGCACGGGTTGTCGCGGCCTTCGCCTAGGCGATCCAATGCGAAATCATCTTTTACGATAAGATGTAGCCTTTAAATGCTATTGGTGATCCCCTGATCCAGCGGCCGGATCTTGGCGGTGATGTTCGGGGGTAGCTTCTCAACACAGACGTTGTCTTCTCGGGCCAGGTGAGGCGGAGACGATTGGAGGACATGGGGTGCTGAGGACGCAGTCGGCTAGTGAGTTTGAATGTAAATGTAGGAATAAAGCTCGGCTCGTAGGGCTTGAAGCGAAGGAGGATTACTTGCTGTGCGCCAATTTTTAAATTGAAATCAAAGTCAGTGCCTGGATTGTTTTGTCAGTACCTTGCCCATCACTATCCCATCTCCCTAAAATCTTCCCGACTATAAAATTGCGAGGCTATTAGTTGAAACCCCGCTCCTTATTCAGGCAGATTTTTGTATCAAATAAAATATGCCTTCCTCCTCCAGCGTGCGTCTTCGACTTCTTGTCGCGGAAACTGACCAGGAACGATCGGAACAAGCGGTGTTTCACTTCTTTTTTAATTGCGATCGTGTATCAGACTAATGTATGAGTAGAATCGTTTCTACTCAATAGCAATGTTTCTAATTCTTTACATTTTAACGTTAGCAATTTCCCCTTTTTTTAAAAAGTATTTTTTTTTCGAAAAAGGACTGACTAATTTTGCGTGTCATCGTTGCAAGAAGTTCTCCTTCATGTGGAGCGCTAGTGCGGCGTTGTTTGCCTTCGTGGCGCTTGTCAGCTTTCTATCCGCGTGCATTGCCGCGCTTATGACACTCTTCGGTCCTGGTATTGACCGCCAGAATATGCGGCGAGGAGCTCCGCACACTGCCTCGCACCAGGAGTTTCTACTCTCCCACGTTCACTCGGGCAACGAAGAGTCTGGTCTATTGGAGCGACCTCGGCCAAACGGGGAACTCATGCGGCTTTTCTACCGATTATGGCTGCCTCGACACCTAGACAGCGCCAAGGATGCTGTCCCTCGACCGAAATGCTACGTTGTTCACATAGACCTCAGCAGTGCTGCTGATCAGTGCCACTACTCGCTCTCACTGAGAGTCTCAGCGCGCGCTCCTCAATGCGAACATATACGTGCTTTGCCAGCTGTCGGCATTGTAAGGTTCTGAAGGACAGCTCTTCCAGATGCTCCGACTTGCGTTGACCCAGCGGACAGCGAAAATGCGATTTTTTTTCGCCAGCGCCATTGCTCGACGCACACAATACAGTAAGCAGTGGGCACTGGAAAGGCGCTGATGACGTGCTCCCAGATGCAGGCGCCGATGACAGCCACAATGGGCTGAACGCTTGCTGGTACCATATCATTAATACTATAATAACTCGGTTATCGCACGACCCGAAAGTGTTTCCGAAGAAATCGCACCGATGGCGTTCTCAGTGCTGGTAATCCTCACGGCGAGGACCTCACGTCTGAGAATCTGATATTCTACACGGTGTCAACTCACACAGCGCCCGCAACAACACGTTCATGGTCGAGGTGCTGCAACGTGGCTTCCTAGTGGCAGGCCTGGACCACGAGGGCATGGGTCGCAGCGATGGCAGACACGGATACTTCTCCAGCGTTAGCATGCTGGTGGATGACGCTATCGCCTTCATAGACTTGGTAAAGGCGAAGTACCCTCAGAAGAAGGTTTTTCTACTTGGCGCGTACGTGGCAAGCGTTATTAAAGCTGATAAGATAAATTTGTGGAGTGTTAATGTGATATTTCTTGTTGGTGGCAGGTCACTAGGTGGATTAATTATCCTACACGCGCTTAGCAAAAGTCCGAAGCTGGTTGATGGCGCCGTCATTCTGTGTCCAGCAACCGAGGTCCACAAAGCATCTCGACCTTCGCAGTTGATGGAGCTGATCGGTCGATTGCTGCAGGAATACATGCCCAAGTTGCCGCTAGTGAAAGCTAACAGTGGCAAGAACAGCTCCCCGGAAGTGGCGGCAATTATCGACGCCGAAAAGTACTCGGATCCACTGTATTACCCTGGTAAAATGCGTGTTGGAACGGGCCTTGCACTACTTGAAGGCATTGTGAGTATCCAGGACAAATTGCAGCTGATTGAGACGCCGTACTTGCTGCAACACGGCACAGCAGACCAAGCTTGCAGTGTCACCGGCTCAGCTGCGCTTCATTTAAAGACACGCAGCGCTGATAAAACGTTCAGGACGTACGAAGGAGGACACCACGACTTGGCCAGTGAACCTCCACGCATTCGCGATGCTGTAGTGCGCGACTTTGTGGCTTGGTTAGAAGACCATTCCAAGCCCTAGTTGGTGAAGTACTACTAGTAAAATACTACGAATGCTGCTTCGCTAATACTACCTCCGTTCTGAAAAAGATAACCATTTGTTTTTTTTTTGCGCAGCGCTCCGCCTCGTTCATTTGAGCGTTTATTAATTTGTGAGAGGCTGGCTAGCTAGCTTTATGACCGAGAGCTGACAGTGAGAAACTAAGCAAGACACAGGCGTTCATGCTCCGCCGTGCAACTATAGATACAAAAACGGATCTAAGACGGCAACTACATCGCCACATTCTGAAGGGGCGCTCAGTGGGGCTTCTGGAACTTCAGCGGTAGACGGTGGGGGGCTGCTCGCTGCAAGAAGCAGCATGTACGCGTTAGCATTGGCGAGTGAGATAGCGTCACAAGGCAGTGACGTAGGGAGAGTGCCAGCTCGTACTTGCTTGTCCTTGTGCAAGTGTCCGAGACGGTAATCAATACCACCTTTGCAGTTCATAACCTGCTCCATGACGTGTTGCAGAGTCAAGAACGTTTTGGTAAGCGTGTCCGCTGTAGTTTCTCCAAAAGCTTTCTCCACTTCCCTGATGAGGTCTTGGCCTTCCTTGATCAGCTGCTGAACCAGGTAGCAGCTCATGTTGGACGCGCGCTGAAGCAGACGCTGGGTTTCGCGCTCATTGACAGGAACTGCAGCGATTCTCTCGCACAGCTCAGCTCGATCCACCTTCTTCCTACCACATGCGCTCTTCCTTGACTTGACCACGGCTGCTACTCGATCTCCCATCGAATTGATTCCACGCCTCCAAATTCGCTCGACAACTTGGCGGCCCACACGGAAGTACGCTGCAACCCGAACGATCTCTCCATGTTTGAGCACTCCTCCCACGCTGCGAAGCAGTAAGGTCTCCCAGACGGCCTGGCGCTCACTGTCTGTGATCTCCCCCGCCAGCTTTCAAAATGAAAGCTAGGCGCGGGAGCCAGTCTGGTCGGGAAAGCGCGGGAGATTCGAAATCCAAAATCTGATCGGCATAGAGGGGGTATTTTTTTGGGGTAGGCTGTAATATAATTTGAAATGGTTATCTTTTTCAGAACGGAGGTAGTACAAAAACATGTGAACTTGCTATTTCTCCACTACTGCTAAAATTCCTGCCGAGTCAAATATCACAATAAAAAAAGCAAAAGATAGACAATAATTGCAGGATACCACACTGTTAACCCCGCTTACTTGCCGTCGATCTTGCCGTCCAAGGCGTCCACGAGAATAACTCTCTTGGCCATGTATTTGTGCAGGAACTTGCGACCGAACGGGATGTACGACAGGCTGTACCAGATCATGCTCCCGAACTGCACGAGCAGCAGCAGGATGACGATGAACCAGTGCGACGGCCACAAGAACGCCACAATCACCGTAAGTGCCAGTGAACCCATCCAGGCACGACCCGTCACACTGCGCTTACGCGACAGCATACGCTTCTTGAGACGCTCCTGGCCCATGATGAAAATGAGGCTGGAGAAGGTGGCCATGTTGCTCAGCGAGTAGAAGAGCGCGTAGAAGCGCACGTGGTGCACGCCCGTGAACAGCATCACCGTGGCGGCAAAAGTAAAGAGTCCGCTGAGCACGTAGCAGCCAATAGCTCCCAGCGCGCGTTGGTTGAGCGTAAGCTCGTCGAACTCGTCGCCGATATCGTCCAGCAGCCCATCCTCCTCGTCGGTGTCCGAGTCGCTCGAGTCCTTACGACGCGGCTTGGCCTTTTTCTTGTCCTTCTTGTCCTGCTTAATGTCGATATGGAAGGCCTCCTTGGCCGAGTCCAGCAGGCTGCTGCTCTCCGAGTGCTCCTTGCTCTGCTTGGTGGTCCGGTTGATGCTGTCTTTGGTCTGTTTGGTGGCTTTGTCGATGCTTTCTTGCGCCTTCTTGCTGGTTCTCTCGATCTCCTGTTGCGTCTTCTTGGCAAAGTCCTCCAGCTTGTCGCTCGCCTTCTTGCTCTGCTCCTTCAGTTGGTCCATCATGGTGGCAGCAGAAACGATCTTCTGTGGCTTGTGGAGAATCCGATTGTGAGCGCACTTTCCACTGATTTATTCGGTGGCGTCGTGTGTCCTGCACCGTAAGACAAGTAAAGTTGCCAGATGGGGTAGAATAAATGCGATAATAATTATTGCTGTTGCATTAATCAAGCTTGAGTTGCGTATCATTTGACCAACACTCCGTCTTTGAATAGAGCTGGAAAATATGGCCTCTTCCACACACACACCATTCATGGACAACAAGACTATGGGGCCGTCTGGAAAGCCACATGGAGCAAGAGAGTATAAGATCTAATCATACAAGCGGAAATTGACGATGTATTGCCCAGCCTGCTCGATTCCGATGTCGAATGCGTGGCTGTCATTTTTACCGCAATAATGAACAGTGCGCACTAAAATCTCACAATAAGATATCTAGAAGCTTCATCTCGTTAGCCATTTGTGAGTCGGGAGATCTCAGGACAGCGAGTTGCGTTGCTCCACATGATCTGCATGGCGATGCGGAGTAGCTGCACCCAACTCGCCGCCTCTCTCTCATTCCTTGACCGCAAGAGCAACATGTTGCTGCCCTTAAGTTCGATGCGGAAGCCTCCATGTCCCATCATCTCAATCTTAGACGCCGAACGTAGATCGATCTCACCGCGAGGACTTCGCCAATAGCTGCGCTTGTACATCCTGACGATGAAAGCTTGAAAGTCCAATGTACACCAGCGCTTGCTCCAGCTGCGTCGAAGTAGCGCAACAGACTCTCGAAGCACAAATAAATTGCCACTATACGGTGGCAGATCCAGTAAAGCGACCGGAGGCGGGAGTGGAGGGAGATCAACAAACATAGGAAAGCTATATCGATCCTCTAGATCCACTGATGACTTATCAGCGTCTTCAGAGTAAAGCGCTCGAAAGAATACTCGCTGTAAATGATACTTTTCCACACGGATCACCTCATTGGCCTCCTTCAGACATACCAACTCGTTTTCCAGTTCAGCCACGTCCTCATCGTCGAGCTCTAAGCTCTTCACTTTGAGACGGTCCTCCCGCTCCATCTCCAGCAAATCGTCCTCGGTAACGGGGTTACCGTCGTCATCCAATAGCGTGAATCGTCCCGAGTTGGTTCGATGTAGTTCATTGCGCATACGGCTGCTTGGCACCTTGCTTTTCGAGCCGAAAGGGTACACCGTTGCCCGCTGAAATGGGTCAAACGTGTCAAGGTCCTCGCGGTCGTCCCAGAACGCATCTAAACCGACGTTCTCGCGGAACATTTGAACCGTGTTGGCTGTATCGCATACATCAAAGTAGCCATGCGCTTCGAAGAATGCGAGACCGTCTGGTGTGCGACCTTCATACACGTCGAGAAGGTGTCTGTCGAATGGAGTCACCGTTTCTCCGACGCTAAAGGTGCTCAAACGTCGAGGCATGGGAAGTTGGTTGCGCGCCTTTTTCAAACAGAAAGAGAAGCCATCTGAGCACCAGCAGGCTTAGTAGACTGTACTCTGTTTGACAAAAAAAGCTTGCACCACATGGCAATGCACGAGCTCATGGGACAAGTAGCCAAAGGAACCACGTGCTTATTACGACACTGGACTTCTGGGGAGGTCTGAGGCGATCGGTTGCCAAATCCGGTAGAATGGTTGCGCACTGAGATGTTTCAGCAAAGTCATCGAGGAAGTATTTTTAGTATTTTGGACAATTCGTGGCGTTGAAGTTGTTTTTAGTATGAACTTCATAAGAAAATACTTAGAAATGGAAGATATCCTTACGGATGGAAGTCCAGTAGATATTGGTAACGAGTGATGATTTTATATAAAATAAACCTTGACAAGGTACTGTATCAGCTACAGACCTAGCTGGTGGCGTAGCTGGCCACTTTGGTGCATCCCTTCCTTAAAATTGCTCGGCCGTATGGGATGAACGAGGCGCCGTACCAAAGCATCGCCGAGTACTGAATAATCACGAGCAACAGCACGAGCGGCCCAGCCTTGGGAAAGCCAAATGCAATAATAAGCGTCGTGCACATGGCGCCAATCCAGATGCAGCAAGCCACGCGTCGGACGGGCATACACATGACCTTGAGCTGCCTCATAGGGCCAATCAGAAACAGCGAGCTGCCGATGCTGCAGAGTGTTCCCAGTGTGTAAAAGAACGCAAACTGCTTGAGATGTTTGGGACCGCCCCACAACATTAGTGTAGAGAGGAAGCCACAGAGTGAGCCGAACAAGTAGCAGCCGATGGCGCCGTACAGTCGCTGGCGCTTGGTGAGTCCGCACTCCTGGCCCAACTCATTCAGCAGCCCCTCCTTTTCCTGATTGGCGTTCGATGGGGACTTGCCTGCTTCCAGATCGCTCTCATTGGCTGAGTCTATAGTGCTCAGAGACGAAGATGACCCCGAAGGCTTAATTACAGTTGGCACTTTGAGATTGAGTGCTCCCGCCTTCGCCTGCAGCGCCGCCGACCCCTTCTGTGTAACGTCCTTGAGTGAGCTGGCGATATTGGACTTCTGTGCCACGTCCTTCAGCGAACCTGCCGTGTCCAACGCCAGCGTCGCTGCCTGCGTGGACTTGGCCTTCAACTGCTCCAACATGGTTGTGGCTTTTGATGTTTCTTGACAACTGACGACATTCAAAATACCACATTTATTTTTGACCAATCCGAAAATCGAAATTTATATCTACCAATCAATATGATTCTCAAAGAAATTGTTTCGGAGATTTCTGTATCCATCGCTAAAATGTCGGACTCGGAGGAATACGAGTACGAATATGACAGTGACGAGCAGTTCGACAGCGACGACCAAGGCTCAGCTGTCGACGGTGAGGAAGGTGAGGCTGCGCAGCAACGGAGTGCGGCTCGTGAAGCGCAAATCGCATTGGAGAACACGTTCTATGAGGCTGAAGACTTCCGTCAACGTGGAGACCTGGCGCAGGCGCTCGAATACTTCCAGCGCGTTGTCGCATTGGAGAAGGAGGCGACACCGCTTGAAGAGCGCAAGTGGAGCTTTCAATCCTTAGAACACGTGGTCAAAATCTGCGTGAGCCGACGCCAATGGGAAGGAATGCTACGTCACTACGAGCAGATGCTGGAGCACTTGGCGTTCGTCACGAGGAACGAGAGCACAGAGTCGATCTCGTCCATTTTAGACGTGGTCTCCAGCGCCACAGGTATGGAGAAGGAGAAGGATAGTGCGAAATACACGTCCAAGATGTACGAACTGACCCTGGACAAGCTCAAGGACGTCAACAACGACCGACTCTGGTTCAGTATGAACGTCAAGCTGGGCAAACTCTATCTCGACATGCAGGCGTTTGATCAACTGCAGAGACTTCTTAATCAGCTGTACGACTACTGCCAGACGCCGGATGGTGTGCAGGATCACTCGAAAGCCACGTCACTATTGGAAGTCTACGCGTTGGAGATCCAGGTAATTGTAACCATCGCTCAGTTTGCACTGAAGTTAGTCGCTCAAAACCTGTTGATGTATTAAATTTGGATACTGTAGCTATGTGTCGCAACCAAGAACAGTGCCAAGATGCGTGTCATCTACCCGAAGACGCTTGATCTGGACGCTGCAGTTGCTGACCCACGCATCATGGGGTATGCGTTAATACCGTTAACTGGATACTTAACTGTTAACTGTGTCATTAACTGGATTCTTAACTGTTCACTAACGTATCTGAAGAGTTATTCGAGAAGAAGGTGGCAAAATGTACTTGGAGGAAAAGGAGTGGATGCTGGCGTACAACGAATTCTTCGAGAGCTTCCGCAACTACCAGGAAGCCGGCAACGCTCGTGCAACTCAATGTCTCAAGTACGTTGTGCTAGCCAACATGCTGGCGAGCTCCGATATTAATCCATTCGACTCGAGAGAAGCCAAGGTGTATCAAGACGTGGAGGAGATCGGTGCCATGTTGCTGCTCCGTGGCGCCTATGAAGCCAACGACATTGTGCAGTTCGAAAAGACTTTGAAGAATCCAAAGTACAAGTTGCTAAGCGATCCAATCATGAAGCGGTATCTAAACCCGCTGCTGCGCAACATTCGCTGTCAAGTGATGAAGAAGCTCGTGCGTCCGTACCAAGCTATTCGCCTTGAGAGCCTCTCGAAGAGCATGAACATTACGGCGGCGGATGTGGAAGATATCGCCGTGGCATTGATCCAGAACCTCGAGCTGGACGCCAAGATCGACCAAAGTCGCGGTCTTCTGGTGCTACAGACGCGGCAAAAGTACGTCGTTGGTGTTGCTAGTTCGTCCTGGTCTGTGTGTGCTCTGACTGTGCTCGCTGCTTGTAGAGCGCGTGACGCTAGCAAGATGTACGACGCCTTGGACCGATGGACTCGAGCGCTCGCGTCGACGCACGCAACGATCACTGCACGTGTGACGGTGCATCCGTAAGATTGAGGACGCCAATACAAGTTAAAAGGCTCGTTAATGTCTCGCCGCTTTATCCCAATTCGAAATACAGAAGCTCTATCTATTGCTCCAGTCATGTCAAGCGAGAAGACATTGGGCGTTGTGTTCCTTGATATACGTCAGCACAGCCTCATCAGAAGCAGAAGCGGGAGCGATCTGGTACAGCGCACTAGACGCCACAGCAGTGAGAGATGCAGAGCTGGACACGACCAGCGTCTCGCAGTTGCGGGTTTCAACTCGTGTATCAACAGGAAGGCCAACGTCCGTCGACGAGATGACCTTGAATATCGTATCGATCTGGTGGAGTAGCGTCTGTGTTGAGTGTACGCTGTAGTTGCTGACGACGCTGACATTCTCGGCGCCCAGGAGAGATATCAACGCATTGAGCAGGTCACGACGTTGAATCGATGCGTCAACTGGGACATCGACAACCTCATCAGTGCTGGTCGTTCCGAGGAGGATGTCCAAGTCCACGAGCACGAACAGGACAGGCACTGAGAGCGGTGTGGCAAAGAAGCGCACAGTGGGGTTGGCGATCACGTGACGACTCTGAATGAGCTTCAAGTCACAGTCCTTTCCGCCCAGTTTCAACGTGATACGAAGCACATCTTGGATGGTTGAAATGACGTTCTCAAGGGCACGTTTGAAGTCGTTTGGGAAGCGATAGAGCCACGCTAGTAGGAGCGCTGCGAACAAGTCGCCTGTGCCGGTGTAGTAGCTGTCGATCCACGGGAAACGCACCTCGTATTGCTCGCAACGACGCAGGTCTCCAGCGACGACCTTGCTGCCAATCACCACCAGCTCCTTCGGTGTCTCGCCCTCGGAGGCCTCTTGGAAACTACTGATCACCACAACCTTGGGGCCGAGAGTGTGGAGCTTCTTGCACGCATGCATAGCGTCCTTTACCGTACGCAACTCCATCTCCGCCAGTAGCTCACATTCATACTGGTTCGGAGTCAAGACGTCGCAAATTGGCAGCACCTTGGAGCGGTACAAGTCCACTGTAAACATCTTCCGTTAGTATCACTCGCTTTATACTCATATACTTTACGCCGCGTACCTAGCTCCAGAGGCACGTAGAGCTTTCCCAGATCTCCCATTACAGGGTCACACACGTACACGAGGCGTTCCGGATGGGTCTGTGCGGCTCGGATCCGCTCGTACACGCGCACGATGGCGTCTAGCAGCGAGATGGAGCCAATATATCCCGTGAGTAGATGCGTATGCGCGTCTTGCAGCAGGTCATTGGTCTCAATGCCATCCAGAAGTTCGTGCAGCTCGTCGCCTGTAAGACGGCGGCCTGTGAACTTCGCGTAGCCTGTGTGGTTGGAGAACTGGACGCTGTTGATGGGGTCCACGTCCATGCCTAGCAGCTGCAACGGAAATACAGCGCTTTTATTGCCCACGTAGCCCTGCACCACGTGCGACTGGATGCTCAGTACGCGGCCGCCATCGTCGCTCACCTCCAGTTCCTGCTGAACCATTGCCATTATAACAGAGCTGACTGTTCGGTAATCGATTCGGTGTGGTGCACATCAATATCACCGACTCGCTGAATGATGTTCTGAAACACCATTTCCACAAAGCTTCAACTTGCTTGCATAATTATTGTCCTTAAGAGCATCTCCAGCGGTTAGACTTATTTGCAAGTCCTATTGAGACGGATGAGACCTCAATTTTTAGGATAGAACTCCTGATTGCATCTTGTCTACAGCGGTTTGGAACTCACCGCGGCTTAACATTTTTTTGTCCAATCAAACGGCGATACAAAAGATCTCCCTAGATACCACACTATCAGAAATACACGAAGGAGTGAAGCGCTGCTGGTGACGTCAAGTATGGACGACGACTCGGAAGAAGAGTACTATTTCACCTACATGTTGCCTGAGGGCGGGGTGGACAACACGAGCGCAGTGCGGGGCAAACACGGCGGGTCCACCAAAGGCAGGAGAGCAAATAAAGAGCGGGATCGAGAAATGTGGGGTGAACGCCTAATGAGTGACTACTTTAACGACAACCCAGTCTACGATGATGGTATGTATTTGAGTAAACGACATGTTCTCCTTTAAAACTGTCCATTAATGCTCATGGCTACTCGTTCTGATGCAGATGACTTCCGCAGGCGATTTCGTATGCGTCGTAACCTCTTTGAGCTCATTACCATTGCCCTGGTTGAGGATGAAGAATGCAGCTACTTCGTCCAGCGTAGTGACGCAACTGGACGTGCTGGTTTCCTACCAGAACAGAAGGTGACGTGTGCTTTACGGATGTTGGCATATGGAGCATCAGCAGATCAATTAGATGAGTTGATTCGTATGGCTGAGTCCACAGTGTTGGAGACCTTAAAGCTGTTCTGCAAAAATATTATCCGATTATTTGGTCCAGAGTATCTTCGAAAGCCGACCAAGGATGACTTGAAAATACTTCTTGCCGAGAATGCTGAGCGCGGATTTCCGGGTATGATTGGTAGCTTGGACTGTATGCACTGGACATGGAAGAATTGTCCAACGGCATGGCAAGGAGCTTTTCAGGGAAAAGAGAAGTGTTCGACGGTGATCTTGGAAGCCGTGGCTTCTAAGTCGTTATGGATTTGGCATGCATTCTATGGCATGCCTGGCGCCAACAATGATTTGAATGTACTCGAGCGTTCACCTTTGTTGAATGACCTGGTAAACGGTGTTGCTCCCAGGATTTCCTTCACTGTGAATGGTGCGACGTACAATCAGGGATACTATCTTACAGATGGAATTTATCCTGTTTGGGCAATTTTCCAATCCAGTATCAGTGCGCCCCAAGGCAACAAGCGTAGATGTTACGCTGCCCAGCAGGAAGCCGCTCGCAAAGACGTTGAACGCACATTTGGAGTATTACAACAACGCTTTCGAATTCTTGCCCTGCCCTGTAAACTATGGAGTGTCGATGCAATGAATGATGTAATGCTAGCATGCATCATCCTCCATAACATGATTGTGGAAGACGAGCAGCGAATTACCTCGGTAAATCATCAGTACCTGTTTGAAGATGAATGGGTCAGCCCGGCAGAAGTTGGTGTACCGGATGAGTGCCCAGTCGCAATGATAGCAAACGCGATGCAAGTGCTTGAAGACGAAGAGCTTCACTATGAATTAAAAACGGATTTGATCGAACACGTATGGCAGTGCTACGGTGATCTCGGCTAGCAAAACTTTTCTCTGGATCCTGTGTAGTAGGTTTTTAAGCTAGACTACGTGTAGAAGCCCAGCTAAATTAAAGTACTGATTTGATTGTCAGCAACTTCACTTTCTTCACCCTCGCCATTATGTAGTCCTGCCACGTGCGGTTCCATGAACGAACGCTCAGGTGTTTTTAGCTCTTCGCTTTGTTGTAACTGCTGGCGCTCTTGTGAAACAGCAAGTGTCTTCCTCATGTTGGCGAGGATGGTTTTTCGCTGCATAGTAAAATATTCCTGTGATTCGTAGCTAGCGGGATTCTGCAAGAAGATAGATAGATGGAGACTTTGCTCCATCACAGCGACCTTCTTTTCTGTGGCAACAACGAACCTAAGGTGAGCTTCACCCCCAATCGTTTGAGCTCCAGCACTTCCATGACTCTCATTAGTTTTGGCGTTAGCCGCCTTTGCTGCTTTGCGGCCTTCTGGTCTCTCCAAAGACGCAACGTCACTTGTTCCTCGCTTGACTCCAATAGATGAGGCCGAAGTGATCTTGTTGGTCCACTTGGGCTTGTCCTTGAGCTCCTTCCACGCCGCAAGAAACTCGAACGGCTGTTTGCGTCGCTCTTGGTAAACCTTCAACGCGGCGTCCAGATACATAGCGTCATTCCATCCTGATCGCTCTCTGCTGGTGACCTTCGCATATATACCGCAGAACTTCGTTACTTCTGGCTGCAGTTTCTTCCATCGCCCCATTATCGCGACCTCCGTTCGTGGATCCTTGTCTTCTGGTCTCTTGTTTTCCAGCCAGTGGCTGTACAAGCGACTGCTGAACGTGCTCTTCTTCTGTCCTGCACCACGCACTGCGTCCTCCGATACCTCCAGCCACGACAGGCAAAGCTGTATGGTCTCGCTCTCACTCCACGCTAAGCCCTTCCCCATCGTACTGCAAGTTTCCGTGTCGGTGCTGAGATCGAAGGTTTCCTTTCGTTAGACTGAGGTTTTATATAAAGTCCTTGGACCAGAAATATAAGTCTTCCTGAAGTTAAAACTAATAATACCACCAACGGGTGGGGCAAAAAAAACTTGTCGAGAGATTTATTTGCGCAACTTTTGGGATAAAACCATCGTTAGAGCCTACCGCTGGAGATGCTCTAACCCTTTAGGACCTAAGCCTTAGAGTCCCTCAGGGGGCCTCTTACGTAAGCATACGATTGGCTATATATACATTTATAGAACGTTTGCCAGTCCCTTCTGTCGTGCCCTGTCTCTTTATTTTCTAAGAGTCCCAGTTTGGGACTCTAACTCGACCAGAAAGATACCACTTTAGTAAATGACCATAAGTCATTGGTAGAAATTGCGAAATACGCTAATCTTATTGGCTACATTTTAGGAGGCCCTGGCAGGGACTCTAAGACGACCTCAGGTCTTAAAGGGTTAATGCAATAATTCTGTGTTGGTTTGTGTCGTAGTATCAACGTGCAGATCAACTGGCAGCGCTACGTGTACATGGATCGCAGCATAATATTCGATGAACCTACTTGTACTATCCGCACTTGACCTCGCCGAAATGTGCGTCTTTCGAAGAGCACCGTTTGACGGACACAGTTCATGTACAGTACTGTACCAACTTGGTAGCCAACGTAGCATGGCGGGAAAGGGCAACGTGATAGATGCAATGTAGCACTCGAACCTTAAGCTGTCCTTCCATCGAGACGACGGTGACTTATTCAGCGTGGCACAGCATTATTAGTTGCGCTGATAAGCTTGACGTCGTGCTTCGTGTGACGATCATCGCGATAGCTCAAGTCATCGTGTGGCCGACGCGCATTATGTAGCAGTTACAGCTGTGACTGCAGTCTGGCTCGCTGGTGACAAGCCTCGCATGTTAGCTAGCCGCTCCGGACTTTTCTTGAAGACATGAAAAAATTCTTGGCGCGCATTGTGGATAAGTGAAAACATCGGGTTACAACATGGGTGCAGCTGGTTCTGGGGCAGTGCAGTGCGTGCGCTAAAAACCAAGGCAGGCAGCGTCCCATGCTGTTGGTAGAGAGACGTTCGCCACCCTTCCCGCATTTTGATTGTTCGACGCCGCGTTAATTGTATCGGTGAAGCGTCGGGCGAGCTTCATTTTTCGACTTGGATCAGACGAGAGTACCACGAGCAGGAACGAGCAGAGCGCCCGTAACGCCAAACCTGCTGTACTACTCCTTAGAGACTGGAGCACGTCAGAGCATGGGCTCAGCTCGCAGGTTGTTGCTTGTTGCCGTTTTAGGGCTCGCTATTGCAGCAGGTACGCTTTGCTTTACGAAAGAGAAATACCATTCCCAAATTTTCGAGAAATGACGTATTACAAGAGCTTAACCTGTGGTTTTTATTTACTTATTTTGTAGATGCACGTACGAGTGCAACACTGTCAACTCTAACGCTCTCCCCAACTGCTGATTCGCTAATTACAACAAGGAGCGATTCGACCAAGAACGATTCTCCATCGACCCCTGCTGTCATCGGAAGCGCCGAATCGGACACCAATAAGGCCACACAAGCTCCAGCAACTCTGGCCCCGGCTACCACAGTTTCGCTTACCAGCAAAACTACTGATCCTCCTTCTACAACAGCGCCACCTACCAATCGTGCATCGGAGTCAACGTCGGCTTCTGACAGCGAAGAGCAAAACACAGCCGAAAAACCCGCAAAGGTTAGTCCTTCGGATCGTAGCTCTCTTGACTCGGTTACTCAAACCGATGCTCCACCAGCCACGTCGACATCGTCCAAGTCGTCGACAGCTTCCGTTGACTCTCTCAACGACAGCAACGGTGGCATAAGTGCTGGTAACACGTCTTCCGGTAGTATGGGTACACTCCTTCCAGCCTGTCTTGGCGCTCTAGCTTGTGTGGGTGCAGTTGTCATGGCAGTCACGTACAAAAGAAAGCGCGACGTGAACGGAGATGACAACGACAATCGTCCCAGCTCGGACTGTGAATACACAGGCGGAGGGGACTTCACCCCCGAAAACCGAACGCTCAACACAGTACAGGAAGGCAACACTCCGAGTTCCATTAGCGTCGATGTGGTGCCGCCTTTTACCAACTCGTCCGTCGGCTCAACGTCCCCATTCGGTACCACTCGCTCCAAGGTGCGTGTGAGTTCTCCCGCTGCGAACTACTTCTCAAGTAGCGAGCCCAACATGGAATTCCAAGACACGTGTCTGCGTCACGAAGGAGGAAGCAACGTGGTGCTCACTTTTGACGAGGTACCGACCGACTCGAGACGTGGCGCACCCCAAGTGCAGTTGTAAATAACGCATAGCCAGATGCTCTACATGTAATTCTGTCATCTTGGAGGACAAGTATGAAATATACGTGGCTATAGACGCAATTAGTTTCTTACGCACGAAAAAAAATTGGTTGATTCAGTGTCACGAGCGCAATGTCAATCATACTGACAACCTATGCTTTCGTTCTCTCCAGTTCTTCTCGCTATAAGAGCGTATCAACCTTCTCGTCCTCTTTCTCCATCTTGCTACATAACTGTTCAGTATGATCAGTCGCTGTGCCCCGCTCGCACGATGTTGCGATACGAAAACCCATCAAAGAACGGCGAGTTGAGCGCCTCTCTGGCCGTCACCCGCTTCTCCGGGTCCAGCACCAACATCAGCTGCAGCAACTCAAGCAGCCCGCTCTGCGCGTCTTCGGGGGATATCAAGTCTTCCAGCTTGCGCATCCTCCGCACGTGGTCCACACTCTCCTCGCTCGGAGCAGCAGCCGGCCAGTTCAGGCGTCCGCGGTGGAAAAACTGGCCTGACGTCGAGTTCTTGGACGCCCGAGCCGCCATCTTGACCGGCAGAGGGTTCAAGCACCGCTCAATCAGCGCGAGATGCTCCATGTTCTCGTGCGTCGCAAACAGCAGTTCGCCTAGGTACAATTCGGCGATAATACACCCGGCAGACCAAATGTCCGACGGATAACTCCAGCCGAGTCCGAGAATCACCTCGGGTGATCGGTATTGACGGGTATTGATAATGGAGCTCTTGGACTCGTCTTCGTACGTGGCGCCACCGAAATCAATGAGCTTGACCGCGTTGTTTGCTGGTGGACGCAGCGACAGCCGACCGGTATCTGCGTCTGACATGGCGCGTTTCTTCCACTGTCGCCCATTGGACCACTGCTCGCGTCTGGAGCCATCGGGTGAGCTATACGAGGACGTCGAGGAAGGCGACGAGGACTCACACGATAGTCGCTCCTCTTCGTCGTCCACCAGCAGAATATTCTCGGGCTTGAGATCTGTGTGGATGAGGCGGATACTGTGGATAAACTCCAGCGACGTCAGCAGTTGCCACGCATACGCACGGATACAGTGCAGCGGGAAGGGCTTGTAGTCGTGGTTCTTCAGATAGTCGTACAGGGAGCAGCCGAGACGCTCGAACACCATACACACGTGGCCCTTGTACTCAAACCACTTGAACATGCGCACACAGAGCGACTCGTTCTTCTTGTCCTTGTCGTTCACGTCCTGCAGGATCGCAGCTTCGATCTTAGCGGACTCCGTGTACTTCTCCACTTGACGAACCACTTTAATAGCCACCACGATGTTGCGCTGCTTGTCCAGACACTCCAGGACACGTCCAAACGTGCCCAGACCGGCCTCGCGGATGATCTTGTAGCGGTTGGCAATGTAGTCGCCAGGTTTTCCGGCGTAGCTGCCCACTGTGTCGTCATGACCCACGCTGTCTTCACTGCCGTCCTTCTGTGCTGGCGGTGGAGGTAGCAAAGGCTCTCGGTCGTGGTACGAATCGCGTCGTCGTGAGTGATGCTGCTTGTTCTTGCCGTGTGACGACCGACAGCGGCCATTGTAGTCGTTCTCAGAGCTGCCACGTCGTCCGCGTGTCTGGCTGTCGGTGCGCGACGACCGTTTCCGGCCGCTGTATCTACTTACATTGAACCAGGTACAGTGACGTCAATAGTGTGTCATTACATAGTCCAGGTAGGATTGGGTACGCACCGTCGGCGGTGGCGATGACTACCGCTGGATCCCGTGCGCGATCGAGTCCCCGAGTGTCTCCTCTTGGACCTGGATCGAGACCTGGATCGCGGTGCTCTCGAGTCTATCGGTAAAATAGGTCATAAAATGTCGCAATCATTGCGGAAAATAGTCCGGCCTCGCACCTGTTCTTCGTCTCGAGGAGCGACTGCCGTGATGCGAGCGACTGCGACTCCGACTGCGTGTTCCGTTCTCGTTAGCGTCCTTGGCAGTGCGGCGTCGGCGCCGGCGCGGGGTGCTGGGCACCGGGGGAGGCCGAGGATGGCGTCTTCGCAGTTGGTAGCGCAGTCGCGAAGACACGGGACTGAAGCTGCGACTGCGACTACGTCGACGCCGTCCATTCCCATTGTCTACGCGTCGCCGCCGGTCCATCGTCCCTAGTGGTGGCGGGGAACAACAAACTGGTGCTTCCTGGAGAAGCTCCTGTCTAAAAGGGGGGTCGTTCGAGCAACATTCAAATTGACCAGGGTTTCTAATTCGAATACAAATGTTTTCTTTCGAGGATGTGGTACATCGTGTAGTGCACATCAAACGCTTCCTCGACCAAACTACAACCGCCGCTGCAACGACGATGACGACGCTAGTAGTGGGGCAGAACTTGCCTGGCAGCCGCAACGAGGAGTTCTTTGGCTGGGAGGAGACTACGGGAGGCCGCGGAGCCGATACTGGTGGCGCCTTTGAGGTGGAGCAGCTGATCCAGCGACAGATCCGCGCTGACCCGACCGCGCTCTCGCATATCTACGATGTGCCTGACGACCAGGACACGTATCTCTGGCAGTATGAGCATCTGCGTCAGGTGATGAAGGAATTGAATGTGCTGGTAGCTCGGCTGGATGGCAGCTGTACACGCGAGTCGTGTCCTGTGATGAAAGCCACGGACGACTGGGTGTTCTTGTGTGCAGCACACAAGGCACCCAAGGAATGCTGCGCCTTCGAGTACATTGTGCACACCATGGACAACGTCAACACGCTGCTCACGAGCAGCCGCGTGTTCCCGTCACGTGTGAGCATCAGCTCCAACGCCACTCAGTACTTCCAGTCAGTCTCCCGTCGTTTGTACCGCATCTTCTCGCACACGTACTTCCACCACCCAGAGGTCTATCAGGAGTTCGAGGACAAGTCGTATTTATGCCATCGCTTCGTCTACTTCGCGCTGCACTTCTGTCTTATCCCAAAGAGTCTGCTTATCATCCCCGACATCGGCTAGAAGCAGTCTCTAGCAACTTTCAAGTGACCGCCATTGGAGCGTAGATAATGCGATTCTTTTTTTCATTTTCGTGTTCTTACAACAGGCTGAAGTAGTGATTCAATGCCGTAGACTGAAGACAGAGATGTCGACTATTGAGCGAGCTAACTGTCACGGTTCTCACGACCGTCGCAGGTTGTTCAGACGCGCTTCGAGGTCACTGATGGTCGAGTCCGTCGAGTCGCCTCCTCCAGCTGCCACGGGCGCAGCAGGCGGCAAAGCCACCGCCGGGGCCGCTTGTGCTATCGCTGCAGCAGGTTCAGCACGCGTTGTGGGGGCCTCGGGCACCGCTTCGGTCATGTCGATACCTATCTCGTCCAGCACTTGTCCGACGATTTTATCCTCCTCTTCCTCGTCCTGGTCGGCGTCCATGACGTCATCGATGGTGTCGCCTATCATCTCCTGCGTCATCTCCATCTTCTCGCTCTCCTTAGTGTACTCCATCATGATCTGGTTGAGTCTAGGTAGGTTCATAGTGGAGGCCATAGCCTTCATGGCCGTGGTGGTGCCCTGCAGCGCCGACGTCATGGCTTCGGCCGACTTGGCCGTCTCCAGACGCAGTGAGACCGCCTGAAGCTGCGAGCGCATGGTGTAGAATTTAGTGATATGCTGACGCGTGCGAACCAGGTCCTTGGCCATGATCTTGACGCTGGCGATCTGACCTTGCTTGGCCATCTTCTTGATCTCGATGATGAGCTTCTTCTCCTGCATCTGCAGATTTGTGCGCTCTCGGTCCAACTGCCGCACGGCGCGGTTGATCTCGCGCTTATTCTCGCGCAGCTGCTCCTTTAGCGTCTTCTTGGTGCCCAGCGCATTGCCCATGGTGGCTGGCGAGTGTGTGCAGACAGCCGAAGTGTCTGCCGCGGAGCGAGAGGCTTGATTATTGTTGTGCGATGTTCAAAGTAGCATCGTACTTAGTGAAGCGATGTAGGACTGAAACTGGACCAATAGGATGGGGCCAAAAACTGGATTTTATATTATCTTCCTAGGACTAGGTGTCCATTAACTCACATGCTCTAAGTAAGGTCCCTCAGTAAAAAAATTAGTTGTAAAAAGTATCTACATTACTGTACTACATGTCATAGGCGGTAGCCCCGAAATTTGTTATTTTACGGCACATCGTATTTACCAAAGCACACTACGGTACTAAAATTGAATATTTAAATCCACAAGCACCATTCAATTCTTTTGAACGTAAATGAACACAAAGAGAAACGTTATTACTGCTGGACAGCAAGCAATGGCATTGTAGAATTCGCATCCTGTATGACTCCGACCACTTTGTGAGCACGTAGGCCGCCTACGCGCTCGTGGAAACGGCCGTCAAGCCATTCGTTTTGAACGTAAAGCAAACACAAACAAGTTTTAACTGAGTGCTCGACAAAAACTCCGACAACACTAGCGCAGGGGCAAACGTTCATTAAATAAATAATTATTCATTTCAATGATTTATAATTTTGTTTATCCTTATGTACAGATGTGTATACTGATCAATTAACATGTCATAGGCGGTTTATCATGTATGACAGGGACAAGTTGCACATTGGCACCGCCAATGACATAAGCATTAGGGTAGATCTATTTCTGGTACAGAGGCAATAGTTCCAGTTCTGGATTTAATTGGATAGGTGCTATGAACCCACGAGCCCTTCAGGTTGAGCTCAAAGAGAGTGCCCACGCAATGCTGGACCGGTGTCGTGAATCCCACCCTGCAAATACAGTTTGAGCGTACGAGCCAAAACAGCGTGAGTTCAAGGCATGGTGTGACCGCAAGAAATTTCATGAAACTACGCGCTACCAAGTTACGGAATTATTGGAAGTGGGCGAAGGCTTTCGTCGCCTCTTCGTCCCCGTCTTGTCCCTCAGCACGTCCCTCTCATATCCGGATTATCTGAAGTCGCCACTTACAATAACAGCCGTTATCCCAGCGGACGCTCCACCAATCACAATGCATAAAAGAAAAGAGTGGTGCAGCACCAATAGGGAAGAATACAATAACAAAGGCAGCTAGCAGCAAGAGACTTTTTCCACGAGGCCAGGAAGCAAGAAAGGGTCGCAAGCTGCGGCCCGCAACACAATAGAGGCGATGTCTGGACTGTGCTGCCGTGCGAGGGAGGCGATGCCTGGACAGAGTGTACGCTGTGCTGTCGTGTGAGGGAGGTGATGACCCGTGGATGGTATGGCGAGGAGAATTCTAAGTTTGACTGAGCGTTGTGCTGAACATGATGGTGCGTGTATGGGGCAGGCGCGGAATGACGCCTGAATGCTAGGTGAAGTGCAGTGTATTGCTATGTTAAGCTATTGTCCGAGTGTGGTGATGCTTGTACAAGGATAAGCATAAGCACTAGAGCGTGTGAAGAAACAACATGAAGAAGAAAATCCGGAGGGAACGACACGGAAGCCCACGGCAAGATTAAAACGAGGGCAAGCGGGGCGAATGAGCAGATAACTCGCTAGTGAAAAGTTAATGCATGCGTAAAAAACTAGTGACGGAAAATCTAATACGAAACTCTCACTTGTGACTGCAGTGTATTTAGTCTTATGTAGTTTGCAGTCTCCCATTGAAGCTCTCACTCAGTGCGTTGAGGGTATGTTGTGACTGTTTGCGCTGAGCCTCCAGAATACAGACTGCTTCGTCTTCATTAACTTTCTGTTCCTGTGCGATCAGATTAACTTGATCAATAATTCTTTTGCGCCTGAAGTAGAATCGCTTTTCGGCTGCATTATTACGCCAATTCCGTGTAGCTTCTCCAATTCGCGAGCAGTAGGAGCCATTAATTTCCGTCGTCCTCTCCTGTCATACTTGATGGACCGTTTTGAGTGATCTCGCGAGCTTGTACGTCGTGCGTAGCTGTGAAGTCTGAGATGGAGCCGAGGCTGCAGCCGTTGGTGTGCTACAGGTCAAAATTAGACGTACGGTGGCAGCACCGAAATCGTATTCTTAATGTGATTACTGACTTCGCTAAGTTTGTTATCAATGTGTGCCACTGCTTGTTCTTGTTGCTGTCTTAGATGCTGCATTAAACCTGGGATAACGTCATTCAAATGATCCGCTTGCGGTGATTTCTCCGTGACATTTTGGTTTTCAATTCAGCTGCGAATGTGTTAAATTTGCTGCAGTTAAATGAAGGGTGAGTCCATAGTTTATGGGCTGGGTGAAGGTCACGCAGCAGCACGGCGTCATGTTGGACAAGTATACGAAGGTACAGTAGTAACTCCAAGAAGTCCCCGGTTGCTACGTTTGGTGATTGCTGTTTGTATGACGCCATATAGACATCGACAAAGTGAAATACGCCACGCTGAAGATGCTCAGGAAGAAGAAGAGCTGCCCGCTCTAAGAAAAATGACCGTTTGTCAGGGGGAAATCCTACTAGTGACCGCATCGCTTCTCGTGGCAAAGCGCTCAGGTCATTCCACTTTCCTAACCGACAAATTTGTGAATCTGTAGCACCTGCTAATTCGGCCATCATTGCTCCTGAACCACGCTCCGCATGTGTCTTAGCCTTCGTATGCATGCCTAATGTTGTGAAGGCCTTTACAGTGGCGTCGTATTGCGATCGGTATGTCATTGATTTTGTTGGATTCTTGCTCAATTTAGAAGTTTGATGTCGTACAAGTCTTCAGGCGCCAAAAAGATAGGTACCACCTCCATTTGCATACACCAGCAATAAAACAGGTACAGAGTGAGTGCCCCAACTGGGCAAACGTCAACATTAATGTGCCTAATACACGAATCAAACTCACGACGGCCGTAGTGGTTTGTTTTCCCCTGCTAGATTATCATGACTAGTACCCGGCAATCTGTAAATCCTACGTGTTCCAGATTCACACTAAAAAATTCGGGTAGCTCCAAATTACGGGCAGACTCACTTCTTAAGAGACATGCGTGGCACAGGAAATGACTCATCCGATTCCGTAGATCTGCTTCTGTGTTCACTCATATACTAACGAGAAATCGCAACCAGACCGGCTGTGGTGCAGTACGCATCCAGGAGAGATCCAACGCCACGGTCAGCATATTCGCGTTTATTTTTTTCGTGTTTTTCTCGCTTCAGCGTGTAAAGTAGTGCTTTGATCAAGGTGTTGCGTGGATGACGGTGTGAATTCACATCTCTAGTCTGCTGATCGCTGTACAAATCTGACATAGCTCTCACGTACATCTCTACAGCAGCAACTCCAATCTTTCGCTGTGAATTTTTGACACGAACTTCGCGATCTACCACTTCTTCACGTAGAAATAGATGTAGCTTCGAAGTCGTAACAAGGTAGCGCGTAGTTTTATGAAATTTAATGCGGTCACACCATGCCTTGAGCTCGCGCTGTTTTGGCTCGAACAGTATTTGCAAGGCGGGATTCACGACACTGGTCCAGCGCTGCGTGGGCACTCTCTTCGAGCTCGACCTGAAGGGCTGGTGGCTCCATAGCACCTCTACAGCTAAATCCAGAAATGAGACTATTGCCTCTGTACCAGAAATACATCTACCTGCAAAACTGTAGTAGATACTTTTTATGACATTTGGAAGGTTTTGACTATTCACGCACATTTTTTTTTACTGAGGGACGCCGTCCTGCATACTTCGAGCATGTGAGTAAGAGAACACCTAACCCTACGAAGATACTCGTTCAATATCGTGGTGACTGGAGAACATTTATTGGATATATTGGTAGGATCTCCTGAAAAATATGATTAGCTACTCTTACGGGATTTCTACCATCTTCACGATATCTGTAAAATGAAAAGAAGCTGAAAATAGGACGAAATTCGCAGTTCGAAGAGCTGTGTTAGCTTAGGCGGGTTCAGCCGAGGGCGAACTTGGCATCATGCAATCTTCTAGCAAAATTCAAGAGACTTCATTTAAGTTGCCAGATGGTGCTCTGTACGCAAAGCCTCTCGTATCGAAGCTTTCTTAGGAGGACTTGTGGTCATGCGGTCTTTTTGACAAGGTGTATGAGCGACTGAGGAAAACAACCTGGAACCAAACCAGCCAAAGCGCAATCTTCTGGTTCGAAGGAGTATTTCATCGATTACAAACCAAAATTGCGAAGCGCCGTGGTTTCAACTGGAAACACATATAGCTTCAAACCATTTTTGGGTGTGGAGTTTTAGGTTTGAAGTTTTGCATCGTGAGTTGAAGAAAGGTTTGAACTGCTGCGTATATATTGGTAAAAAGCCCCTAGCAACGGTCTTCACCAAAAGCCGTAATGGGTACGCAATAGGAAAGACGTATCTTGATATCCTAAACGAATGGCTAAAAAGACCATTAAGGTATAGCCAGCTATTGGTTTTGAAAGACGCAGCAAAGCGTCCCTTCAAAACGATCGATCTTGTTAGCCATCCCTTTCGAATTACGAGTCGTGAATAATAATAAGTGTACAACATTACTTCACAAATATCTCTACTCTACTCACCCGCTTCTTTTCATACGCTCCCATAGCCCTCTTCGCAAGCTCCTCGCAATTCTCTACCTCTTCTTGTTGTCGATCAAATATCCAAGCTTCATTCTAGATCGACTAGAGCAGGTTTTTAAGCAAAAATTCACGACCCATTTCTTTACAAGCGCCGGGCAACAGGCAATGGTAGTGGGAGTGGCGCTTCCGAAGTGCCAGCATCTGCTCAGCCTCGTGAAGAACCTTGTTTAAACACAGTGGTAGTACCTGTAGCACAAGCTCGTTCATCGAGTGGGTTAAGCGACACGTCGTCCAGTACCGCACCAGCACCCGGAATCGAGTCCGAACAGTCAATGCCATCCGATACGTCTTCAAATCAGCCTGGAGAACGTGTGCCTTTCAATACTCAGACGGTTACTAACTATCTTACACAAGCAATTCAAAATTATTAGCCGCTTCCAAATCTTACCGTCCTTCCAAAACGTCG